GATAAAAGGGATGGATTGTTCGTCATATGTGCAGAAGCACCAGAATCAGGAAACCATACTGATGGTTATACATCCTCCAAATTCATAGCGGCAAATGACTTTGCTAGTAAATTGGGAGCATATGAATGATTGAAACTATTACGACACTCCAAAGCAGTATGATTAAAGTGGAAGCAAATTTGACATTGTTTAGTCTAGGTGAAAGGAGGTCGCCAAAGAATTCCATCACCTGAAGAAGAAGGGCGAAAGTATGATTGAAAACCAGACCAATAGGGAGAAAAATTAGAGCGAGAAGAGTATTGATTTCGACCTTTACGACCATTATGGATCCTCTTATGTATTGATTAACATGAGATGAATTTGAAGAAGGTGGTTGATAAAGTGGTGGTGCTTGAGCGGAAGCCACTAACGCAATGTGAGATGTAGAATCTTCATTGTCTGTCGCATTTATATGCGCTTCTTTATTAAGTAACTATAAGAAAGGGAAGAAATGTTCCTATCGCATTTAAACATGAGAAAAAAGTACGATAAGAAGGTGGAAGTCCCTGCAATGTTTTAGGTTACTAAATCATCATCAGTAGCTGATTTTCAACTGCTCTAAGTGAACAGGCAAGTGAATGCATTTGTTGGAGATAAACCTCCATGGACAGGGTGTTAGGACTGGAAATAAGCAGATGTAAACACGGAAGCTAGCAAAGCGAACCTCGAAAGACCACGAGTAAGAAGACAACGAGAAATATACCAAAAGATACAAAGATTTAACGTGGTTCGGTCAATCAACCTACGTCCACAAAGGAGATGAGCAATCCACTATAAATATGAGAGTATAAAATACAGAGGGAAATAATCTCAACCAATTCACTCGGAATACATGGGAGGTTCACACAAGTGATAACGTATCAAACTTGTGACCCATAAATTATCCCCCTAACCAAAACTCTCAAAGCCCTTAAGACTACATTGTGAATGCTGATTAAGTTAGAAGGAACATACCTCTATTTATAGAGTCCTAAACCTTTTCTTACAAGAAAAGGATTAGTCAATTCAAAACCTTTTCCTAAAAGGAAAACCTATTTATGGTAAGAAATTTAGGGCAAATAAAACCCAACAAATCTCCCCCTTGGCCCGAATTTCTGACAAAATAAATTTGTCCATCTTTTTCATTTAATCTTCAACAACTTGATTCTGCTCTCCATAGTCTCCTTTGCAAAATTTATGTCTCAACACAGAGAAACTCTCTGAAACAATTTCTCCAACAAAATCTTCATTACTGTCAAAAAGGTTGCGGCTAGAACTACACCCGTCAAGATGAACACCTCTTTCTAACCTGGTTCAATCATCGATTATCGAACCACTAATCTTGACTCCGTCATTGAATCTGACTTTGATACCATTTGTTAGGACCAGAAATAAGCAGGTGTAAACACGGAAGCTAGCAAAATGAACCTCGAAAGACCACGAGTAAGAAAACAACGAGAAATATACCAAAAGACACAAAGATTTAACGTGGTTCGGTCAATTGACCTACGTCCACAAAGGAGATGAGCAATCCACTATAAATATGAGAGTACAAAATACAGAGGAAAACAACCTAAACCAATTCACTCGGAATACATGGGAGGTTCACACAAGTGATAACGTATCAAGCTTGTGACCCACAAATTCTCCCCCTAACCAAAACTCTCAAAGTCCTTAAGACTACATTGTGAATGCTGATTAAGTTATAAGGAACATGCCTCTATTTATAGAGTCCTAAACCTTTTCCTACCAGAAAAAACGATTAGTCAATCCAAAATCTTTTCCTAAAAGGAAAACCTATTTATGGTAAGAAATCAGGGCAAATAAAACCCAACACAGGGAATCCTTTTAAAAATTCTGAAATTTTGATTTCAGATGAATTGACGATGATGAAACCTGATCTAGGTAAAGGGAAGCAAGAGTATCCCATGCTTGGTTGGAAGTGTCTCAAGCGATAATTGAGAAGTGATCAAGAACCGGAGGGGACAGAATGACATTAATCCAACTTAGAGTAATTGTGTCGCATGAAATCCACAAACGATATCCATCATTAGTTGAGGATAGGCATGGAATAGATCCATCAACCAGGGGAAGAAGATTGTGGCTTTTTAGAACGGCAAGAAAAACTTTTTTCCAAGTAAGATAATTAAGATATGTCAATTCAATAGGTACAAAACCTTTAATGTTTGAAATAGCCGAAGGAGGATTTGGAAGACCCAAAGAGGAGTGAGAGGAGACGACTTGAATTGAGGAAGAAGTTTGAGCGGAAGTAGCTTGAGAAACCATGGTGCTCTTGATACCAAATTGAAGTTTAAGTTTTAAAGAGATAGGAGAAAATAAACAAAGGCCTACGTGAATAGAAAGGGCCTGGACGTGTGCTATTTATAAGACAATTACAAGTACATAACTCTATAAATTTATATTTACAATAATATCCTTATATATATAAAGCCATCTTACAACATTTAGAATTTTTGCGTGGAAGATCTTTCATCCACTTGCCTCCAGTCCTCTGCCTAGTTAACTTTCATAATTATTATAACAAGAAGTACACCTTCATTTGCCCATTTAAAATTGTGGTAACTCTAAATTTCTAAGAGATAAATATTCAAAAATCAAAATCAATATTTAGAACCCAATTCATCCTAAATCCTTACGAATTCTTGACCTGACCCGCTGGGTTGGTTATATAAGAGAGGTTCTTAATAACATTTAATTAAAAGAATATAATATGTTATTAAGGATATCTATAATATTTAAAATTTTACAAAATGAAAAGCTGTCGTATTCTTTTTAGTTAAATATTATAAAGGAAAATTTATATGAAATGACAAACATTCATAACTAATTATATCATATGGGTATAGTTTAATTTATTTACATTATATAATTATAGTTTATTATTTTTTGCTATATTTTAATGGGGCCCACAACCTATTATGTAACCAATTGTATAAAAACCTTATTTTCTAATTTTGTATATAATTATACCCAAAACAATTTTCTCTCTCCTTTTCACAATTAGTTTTCTCTCTCCTTTTCACATTCTAACGTCTTCTCCTACATTTAATGCTCCAGCTATCCGGTTTGAATTTTGAATTTTTGTCCAAAATTTCAGTAATCCCTCCCGAAGTTGAAGTCCCCTCCCCAAGTTGAAGTCAATTTCGTAAGTACTCCTTAATTTTAGTTGTTTACCTCTTTTTTTTGTTTCTAACTTATTTAAAAATTGTATATGTGTTCTGTTTATTATTTTTTTCATATATTTTGATGAAATAGTCGATTTTTTTCTTGATAGATCTAAAATTGATTAAACAATGAACGAATCATCTACATCTTTGAGGATTACCAGAGGTACTCCTTTGCATGTCAATGTTGTTGACATTTTACCATCCTTTTCAATGGGGATAACTCAAGAATTTGGGGTTAATGTAGGGTCTTTTGGAAAATCAAAACAAGTTATACACGAACAAACCATGGAAGAGCTGAGATCAATGAAAAAAAACGACCCTATGGCAGTTCAACAAGTTATAAAAAATGCCAAAGCCAGAGGAATTAAAATTGTACAAGGAACAAGAAAGAGGAAACATGTTAACATTGAATCAGAGGATAATGATTTTGAAGTTGTTGGATCTGATGAAATTCATAATCATGAGGTACTTTCTTAAAACACAAAGTTAGATACAATTTTTTGATTAATTAGTTGTCAATATTCAAAAAGTATTAAATTAAGTATTGTATATAGTATATTCAATGTTTAGTAATTGTATATAGTATATTGCATGTTTATGTTATTTTTGGTTTTTGTATATATATACAAAATAGTAACTGGACTTAATTATTCAGATGGAAAATTTGTATATATGATTAGAATTTGTATATTATATTAGTTATACAAATTATTGAAGTTATTATTTTTTGTATATTGTAGTAGTTATATATAAATTATTGAATATAATGACATGTATAACTAATATATTCATGTACACATATCAATATAAATTATTTTTGTTTTTTTGTATATATATACAAAAAAGTATTTGGACTTAGTTATACAGATGGAAAATTTGAATATATAATTAGAAATTGTATATTAGTTATATACAATTATTGAAGTTAGTATATATTAAGTTTATATACATATACAAAAAATGATATGTACATGTCTGTTTTAATAGCTGGTAGTAGGGGATTATATAATAAAGGCTCATTATTTTTATATATAAATATATACACAAAGTAATTGAATTTAGTTATATAGATGGGAAAATATCATACGTGATTATAATTTGTATATTGTAGTAGTTATATACAAATTATTGAATATAATGTCATGTTTACCTAATATATTAATGTACACATATCAATATACAAAAAAGGTAAGTTCATATATATAAACAGAAATTAATCTGTGCATGACTTATTTTTTGATTTTTTTTATATATATAGGTAAGTATATATATACATAAATTAATTTGTACATGACTTATATTGTTTTTTTTGTATATATATACTATGTTTATTTAACCTTTTTTTTTTAGGTAGTCATATATATTTGCAAGAACCGTGAAAAAAGGACAATTCACATGCAATGTTATACGCAAATCAACACATTGAATGAGCTTCAGAATAAACTGCCTCCAAATCAATATAATCGTATATGTGCATCATCGTGTTTTGCATAGTTAACAGCAATGAGACGATGTCACGTGCAATCACAATTGTTTAGATGCATTATGTTGAGGGAGTTGGAAGGTAGTTCTGTGAATGCAATACTTTTTTATATAAATGGCACAACGCTTCGATTCACAATACGAGAATTTGCCATTATTTGTGGTTTGAATTGTTCTGATAATGCTGCTGAATTCTACTTTGATACTGATCAACCCAATAGAATCATCGATGAGTATTTTCCAGGGAATTCTCCTGTCACTAAAGCTCGTTTGGCTGAAGCTTTTAAAGCAAAGGTATAGGTAAATGATCACCTAAGCATGTTCACAAGGTACTTCCTCGTACTGAAATCTTCCACATGTGCAAGTTTTTTCTTTTAGGCAGACTACAAAATATCTCCCATCATCATTAACATTGTGCACATATTCCGTTGACGGTACAACCTGCTCATTTATAAATACAATTAAATGAAATGATGTTCATACTAATATAAAATATACAATTAAATTTGTTCAACACTCCTAAATACATACTTATTCTTAAATATTACCGTCATTCTTGTGCTCAACGCTTCATTGTCTGATAGTATGTCATGGTATTTTCCAATCAATGATGTGAATGTGCAGGTTGCTTCCTTCTTGTAGTCATGATGCCACCTTCCAAATAATAGCCTTACCTCTTCGAGAAATTCAAAAATAGGCAGTTCTCTCGCTGAAACAAGTGCTGCATTTATACTCTCAGCAATATGCGATGTCATGTGCCATCCTCTATGTACTTGTGCATAACAAAGAGCCCATTTTTCATATCCAGCTAAATCCAGATACTCTTTCACTCTTATATCTTCTTTTTCTACAGTATCCATTAACATATCAAATTCATTCTTTGTGCAAGTTTTTGCCATTGTATAGAATACACCAGATAACTTCTCATGAGATTTTCTAAACTTTTTCTGAACGTTATTCCATAAATGCCACATACAAGCATAGTGTGGGACATTACTGTATACATTTGTAACAGCCTTTATAATGCTCTCATTTCTATCAGACACAACACACATGTTACTCCTCTCACCGTGTGCTTCTTTAAGTTGCTCAAAAAACCAAGTCCACGCAGCATCATTTTCTGAATCAATAATACCATACGCAAGTGGAAATATATGTCCTACAATAATATCAAAATCATATATTAAATGTACATATACAACAGATTCAAGTATATACATATACATTATTACATATATAATACCTGCGCCATCTGTCGTGCTTGCTGCAACAAATGTCCCATTATATGGACCTCTCAGATGACTACCATCCACCACGACTACTGGTCTACAATGATTGAATCCTTGGATAAATGTATTCAATGCAACAATAGATACAAGAACTCATTATTCGTACTCTTTTTCATACGTATATGAGACCCCGGGTAAATGATATCCATCATATACAAATACGCAGGTAACTTTGCATATGATGCAGCTGTTGTGCCCCTCAAAGCTTTCAATGCTTTCTCCCTGGCCCTCCAAGCCAACATATAGTTAACATCAACTCCTAGATCAATCTTAACATCTTTTCTTATATCAACTGGTGTATATTTACGTTTATGATCTACAAATTTAGGTTTCACAATCCCTCCTATTAAATTTCTAGTTACATGTCTTTGCGAATGAACTCTATCTTTTAAAGGACATGTATGCTTTCGGTTGAATGCTCGAATTCTGAAAATTCTAGATTTGTTGATATTAGAGGCCTTCATTAACCATTCACATCCTTTAGAATAACATTCCACAGTGTAACTGCATTTGATTTTTAATATAGTAAACAAATTTAGTTTACAATAGGCAATACAAACATTTATACAATTTAAAAGTAATTATTTTGAGAGTCACAGTACCTTATTGAGTTTGACCGAGTAGTTTTGTACTGAAATCTCTCTTTAATCGCATATCTTTCCATGACTGCTTTCAAAATTGATTTGTCCTTGTATACTTGATCAACCTCAACATGCTTATTAGATTCGTCTAAAATCACCCAAGTTGTATCAATCGATACAAACACAACATTTGTATCCTCCGGTTCAACAACAATCATATCATGACAATCATTTTCTCCAAAAGTTGCCAACACCCCCAACTCTTTACATTGAGAAATCTGTCTATCACATGAATCCAAAATAGTTATACAAATAGGAAATTTGTTAAAATCAGTGTTGGCCTTTTTTAGCATTACGTACACTCTAACACCCATGTCATTGTGTATGACCATTCGTTTATTGCTTTCTTCAACCTTGTACTCAATCTTCAAAGTCTTATTATTCATAGTAACACCAATCTGTTTGGCAATAGTACTATAAAAATCAAGAAACGTTGACTGTTCCTTAAAAACTACTCCCTCTATAGTATAATCAACGTAACTATTTGTATCGTCCCATTTTCCAGAATGCATAACCAAGATAGATAATGAGCCCATTATCTGTACATTTATGACAAGAACATATATATATATATATATATTTCAAATAATTCAAATAGATCATACATACAATTAATACAACAATATTTATACAATCAAATTATAAAAATTATATACTATTATTCTTTTTAATATACAAACACTACATCTACAATAGTATATAAATCTATCAAGAACAAACACATGTTTTTTGAATATATACAATTATGACCACTGATTATATATTTTCGATTACGAAATATACAAATTATGCGAATAACATATACAATTACATGAACAGTATATAATTGTATATTACGAAAATTCAGCTTAACAAAATCATATTTTGATTTTTTTTTTTAAAAAACACATCACACTAAAGAATGAACACAAATATACAATTATGACCATTGATTATATCTTTTCGATTACAAAATATACAAATTATGCGAATGACATATACAATTACATGAACAGTATATAATTGTATATTACGAAAATTCAGCTTAACAAAATCTTATTTTGACTTTTTTTTTTAAAAAAAAACACATCACACTAACGAATGAACACAAATTCAGCTTAACAAAATCATATTTTGATTTTTTTAAAAAAGAAAACCACATCACAATAACGAAAGAAAACAAATCTCAATTTCTAAATTCAATTTAACATTGTATAGTTATTGCAATAATAAACAAGAAATTTCGTTGAAAAAAAACTTACCTGTATTCGATTGCAAAAATTGTTGAACTTCAGTTTCACAAAGAGCAAAAAAAAAAATATTTTCGTTTCGATTGCTGTATGAATTTTTTTTTGAATTTGAACGTTTTGCTTAAAAAAAAGGGACGTTTCCCTAAAATTGTGGCATTATCTTAATTTATTGTTACAATATTTAACGCTTCAGTTACAAACCACTTTTTAAAATAGAATTGTATAAATTAAAAACCTTTATATACAAAATTAAAGATACCTAAAATAACTAAAATATACCCATATAGTGTAATTATGTAAACTATACCCATATAATGTTATTTAATCAAATAAATTTGCCATATATGAAATTTATCCTATTATAAAACGACACTTCTTATTCCATTTTAAATTGATTGGGTCAAGAGTTGAATTGAATTTAAGGTGGGTTAGATCTTATGTAATTTTTAAAATAATTAATTTTAATTTTTGTTTGGTCTGAAAGTGTGTTGATTTCACATTATACTTCATAATTAATAGAGATAGAATGGTGCATTTACTATGTCAATAATTATTTTCTTAATAGGTGTTTCACTTCGAAGTGGACAAGTAATTAGGGATAGAGAGAGTAACTATTAGTATTGCTATAAAAAAATAACTTATTAGGACATAATTTTGGGTATGGAATGACCTTTCTTTGAGAATAATTTACCTTCCAATGTGAGATTTTTTGATGGGAATTAAAAATTAGTTAAACTTCAATATGAGTATCTAATATCGGGTGAAACACACACAAAAAAAATTGTAGCATATTAGTGAAGGTTGATTCTTACATGCTACCACATATTTCCCAATCAAATTCTTTTGTGATTCATCATGTCTTTCTTTTTGAGAGAAATCAGTCAGTGAAGTTTGAAGAAATTTTTATGGGTAAAATAGTGAATAAAATTGTATATTAATGTATATGGGTGTATAATATTGTATATCAAGTTTAAACATATTTTTGTAAAAAAAGAAGAATATTTTTTGGTGATATTATTGTATACCAAATGTATATTGTTGTATACCATATTGTGTTTTGGGCTAAAAAATTGTTAATTTTTATATATTTTTGCAACATAAATTAGGTAATTATACTTCAATGAAATTTTATCTATTTTAAATCAAAAGGGAGTATTTGTGAATATGAATGTAATGACCCGAAAGGTCTCTTTAGAATTTTTAATATTTATTTAACTTAAGTTAATTAATCGATAGTTAATGGATTAAAGTAATTTTTAATAAGACCCTATACTATTTGACCCTTATATAATAAAATAAGTGAGAAAAATTTATATTACACCAATTTTTGGATCATGACAAAATGGTATCAGAGCGCAGGTTCATAGGTCTCACATGTATACAAGTCGAGTTTACATAGAGTTTAAGGATTAGTACGGAGATATCCGTAACTATTAGGAAACTTTCTTTTGTTCATTCTTTCTCATCGTGCGTGCTTACCTTTTCTTTATTCTAAGTTATTGTATACTCTTTTAACAGATGACGAGGACTAAAACTAATGTTACTGGTGGTTGAGGGGAGGCACTTCCCGAGGAAGTTGTTGAGGCCCCAACTAGGGTTAGGGGTAGATCTCGAGCTAGAGTTCGTGCTCATGGTACGACACTAGCCAGAGGTCTCTCCAGAGCACCAGTGAGAGGTTGTGCTAGAGAGGTCTCTCTAGAGCCTCAGATTGATGACAAAGAGGACCAGGTTCCTCCAGAGCCTGCAGTCACACCTTTGCTTCAGGATACATTATTAAGGGTGTTAACTGTGCTGGAGGGATTTAATCAGGATGGTGGTGCAACCGCCACACCTTATGACTCCCAGACTAGAGAAGGGGCTCATACCTAAGAGTAGCAGCAAGCTCCAGTTGTATAGGATGCGGTGAGGTATCTACCAGTGGATCCCGCGGTTGAGAATGATATTGCACCAGCAGTTGGGGGTCAAGTTGCACTGGTGGTTGTTCTGATAGAGGATGAGCAGTGTAGGCATAAGAGATTTCGAAAGATGGATCCACCTTAATTTTAGGGTGGGAAGAGTAAGGAAGCTCATGAATTTCTGACTATATGCTGAGAGTTGCTAGAGGTGGTTGGATTAGCTGAGTTACATGGGGTTCGATATGCTACACTCCAGCTTCGTAGTCCAGCGAGAGAGTGGCGGAGGACTTATTCGGGGGCTTTGCAAGTTGGATCTCCGCCAGTGACTTCAGAGAAGTTTTCTAGTGCATTCCATGATCGTTTTCCATGGGAGCGTGAGAGAGGAGAGTCGCTTGAGGTTTGAGAATCTGAGATAGGATGGTTTATCGGTTACAGAGTATGAGGCACGTTTTTGCTAGTTGTCTAGGCATGCGTTGGCCATTATTCCAGATGAGACAGAGAGGATCCGCAAATTTGTGAGGGGATTGACTTTCTCTATCAGGTCAGCTATGTTTCGGGCATCGAAAGAGGGGGCTTTTTTCCTGTCCATTGTGAGCGCCGCCAAAGAGGTGGAATTGATGGATAGAGAGGAGTTTGGGGACCTTAAAAGGGCCCGTACATCAGGTCAGTTTCATGGTACCTCATTTGGAGGTAGGGGATCACAAAGAGGGAGTGGTTCCTTTAAGCAGTGAGGACTCATTCATGCATCTAATCCGACATCCAAGGGTGGTCAAATATCTAGGGGTTCTTATATCCCGGGTCAGGGCTCGTACGGTTCACAACAACGACCTACAGGGTGAGGCAATTATAGTGGGTTTTCAGGGTCTACACAACAGTTCCCAGGACAGAGATTTTGCTTTACTTGTAAAGATCCTGATCACCTGATGCGGCAGTGTACTTCTTAGAGGGGTCATGGTGGGCCTTGAACTAATTCTTCATTTCAGACTAGAGCACCAACACCATAGGGTAGAGTTCATGGCAGAGTTCAGTCAGGTAAAGGTGATAGAGTTTCTAGTAGTGGTATTGTATACCATCCAGGATGGAGGTGGACGGGGGGGGGGGGGCACTGTTATGCTTTTCGAGGGATACTCGAGGCAGAAACCTCTGATGCTGTTATTATAGGTATCATCCAGTATGCCATCGACCCGCGTCTGTATTATTTGATCCAGGGTCTCATTCTCTTATGTCTACCTATTTTGCCGCTGAATTTGATGTGATATGTGATAACATGACTGTACCTATTCGTGTTTCTACACCCGTGGGTGAGCCCTTAGTGGTGGATCGAGTGTATCGATCTTGTCTTGTTTCTTTGGCTGGGTATGACACTTGGGTAGACTTAATCATTCTGGGGATGGTAGACTTTGATGTCATTTTTGTATGGATTGGCTTTCTCCTTATCATGCTGTCCTTGATGGTAATGCTAAGACTGTGACCTTAACGATGCCTAGTGTTCCGAGGGTTGAGTGGAAGGGTATTAGTGGTTCTTATCCTAACAAGGTCATTTCTTTTATCCATGCTCATATATTGGTGGAGAGAGGTTATTTGTGTTACTTAACTTTCATTCGAGATACTAGTGTTGAACCATCTCCCATGGAATCTGTCCCCGTGGTTCAGGAGTTTTCCGATGTATTTTCTTCTGATCTTCCAGGTGTTCCTCCCGATAGGGATATTGATTTTGCTATTGATTTGGAGCTGGGCACTAAGCCTATTTCTATCCCTCCATACCGTATGGCTCCAACAGAGTTGAAAGAGTTAAAGGATCAATTGCAAGATTTATTGAGTAAGGGTTTTATTCTCCATAGTATGTCACCTTGGAGTGCCCCTTTATTGTTTCTGAAGAAGAAGAACGGGACTATGAGGATGTGTATTGATTACAGATAGTTGAACAAGGTAACAGTGACAAATAAGTATCCTCTTCTATGTATTTATGACTTATTTGATCAGCTACAGGGAGCATTATTGTTCTCTAAGATTGATTTTAGGTCCGGGTATCATCATTTGAAGATTAGGGCATCAGATATCCCTAAGACAACTTTCAAGACCCGATATGGTCACTATGAGTTCCTGGTGATGTCCTTCGGATTGACTAATTCTCCTCCAACATTCATGGAGTTGATAAATGGGATGTTTCGACCATATCTTGATTCTTTTGTGAATGTTTTTATCGATGACATCTTAGTTTACTCCAAGACTGAGGAGGACCATGTCCGACACTTGAGAATTGTATTTTAGAGGTTAAGATAAGAGAAATTTGTATGCCAAGTTTTCAAAATGCGATTTCTGGCTTAGTTATGTGGCATTCTTGGGAAACGTGGTGTCCAAGGAAGGTATTAGATAGATCCGGCCAAGATTGAGACAGTTAGAGGCTGGACACGACCTACTTCACCTGCTGAGATTAAGATTTTTCTGGGATTGGCAAGCTATTATCGACGATTTGTTCAAATTTTCTCTACTATGAAGCTCCATTGACTAGATTGACTCGACAAGATGTGGGTTTTCAGTGGTCAGATAAGTGTGAGAAGAACTTTTAAAAGCTTAAGACTTTGTTGACTTTAGCTCTTGTTGACTCTACCTGAGGAGGGTTTAGACTCTACTGTGTATTGTGATACTTCAGAAGTTTGGTTGGGTGGTGTATTGATGCAGAAGGGGAGAGTGATTGCTTATGCTTCCAGGCAGTGAAAGTCCCATGAGAAGAACTACCCAACTCATGATTTGGAGTTGGTGGCTGTGGTATTTGTACTCAAATTATGGCGCCATTATTAGTATGGGGTGCATTGTGAGATCTTCACTGATCATCAGCGTATTCAGTATATCTTTAGTCAGAGGGATTTGAACTTGAGACCAGCGGAGATGGATTGAGTTGCTGAAGGACTATGATGTGACCATTCTGTATTATCCGGGGAACGTCAATGTTGTGACTGATGCTTTGAGTAGGAAGACTCTTAGCATGGACAATCTTGCATAACTTAGTATTGAGGAGAGAACATTGGCTAGAGATGTTCATATGTTAGCTAACAATCTTGTCCTATTGCAGATTTCAGAGGAGAGTGATGGGATGATTTCTTTTATTGAGGCTTGATCTTCTTTGGTCGAGCAGATCCGTGAGCACCAGTTTGATGATGAGAAATTATGTCTCATTCGAGACAAAGTATTGAAAAGGATTCTAAGGAGACTATACTTTATTTTTATGGTGTATTGAGGATCGGAGGCAGGATTTGTGTGCCCAAGACATGCGAGTTAATTAGATTGATTCTTGAGGATGCTCATTGTTCTCGATATTCCATCCATCCAGGAGCGATGAGGATGTATCATGATCTGAGTCCGCATTACTGGTCGTGTGGGATGAATAGAGATATTTCAGACTTTGTTTCGAGGTGATTGAGTTGTCAGCAGGTCAAGTGTGAGCACTAGCACCCGGAGGTGTATCTCAGAGGATGCCTATTCTTACTTGGAAGTGGAAGGATTACTGTGGACTTTGTTGTGGGTTTGCCTACCACTATGGGTGGTTATGACTCTATTTGGGTTGTTGTTGACAGGCTGACCAAGTTTGTCCAATTCATTCCGCTTTGGGTGAAGTATACATTAGAGAAGTTAGCCGAGCTATATATCAGTCAGATTGTGCGACTACATCGGTTCATATTTCTATTATATCAGATTGAGGTTCACTATTTACTTCTTACTTCTGGAAGGCATTACAACATGGTCAGGGTACTCAGTTAGATATGAATACCACTTTTCACCCTCAGACAAACGATCAGTACGAGCGTATGATTAAGGCGTTGGAAGACATGCTTTGAGTGTGTGTGATCGATTTCGATGCTAGATTGGATCGCCATTTTCCCTTAGAAGAGTTTTCCTACAATAACAGTTATCACTCTAGTATTCAGATGGCCTCATTTGAGGTGTTGTATGACAGATGGTGTAGGTTGCCGATCAGTTGGTTTGATTCGGCGGAGATGGACTCTTTGGATACAGACTTGCTTAGAGATGCTATGGAGCAAGTCCGTATGATTCAATATAGATTGTTGACGACCTAGAGTCTACAGGAGAATTATGAAGACCGGAGTGTTAGAGCCTTAGTGTTTATGGAGGGTGATCATGTTTCGCTCCGAGTATCACCCATGAAGGGTGTGATGAGTTTTGGAAAGAAGGGCAAGCTTATCTCTAGATTCATTGGATTTTTTGAGATTTTGAGCCTAGTGGGAGAGGTGACCTATAAGTTGTCCTTGCCCCCTAGTTTGTCAGCAGTTCATCCTGTTTTCTATGTCTCTATGTTTTGGAAGTATATTTCGGATGAATTTCATGTGATTTCACTCGATTCAGTGGAGTTGAGTCCAGAGTTGATATTTGAGGAGGAACCTATAACTATATTGGACAAGCAGGTTCGAAATCTTAGGACCAACGAGATCGCTTCAGTAAAGGTGTAGTGGAAGGATCGATCACTAGGAGAGTCAACTTGAGAAATAGAGTCTCACATGCATGCCAGATATCCTCAGCTTTTTGAAGCTTCTGATACTACTTTTACTTTATGGTCGAGGACAAACATGAATTTTAGTGGTGGATAATGTAATTATCGGAAAGGTCCTCTTTAGAGTTTTTGAATATTTGTTTAACTTAAGTTTTCATAGTTAATAGACTAAATTGATTATTTAATAAGACCCTATACTATTTGACGCTTATATTATAAAATAAATGAGTAAAATTTATCACTTTTAGCACTAATTAATTATGAAAATAAATAAACAAAAGAAAGAAGGGACGGACGAAGGGTTACTGTATCTCGCCAGTTACCAGTTGCTTCAGGTAAAATTTTGATTGAAGTTTTAATCTTTCTATGTATGCTATTGCATTAGCTGCTCTTTCTAATGCCTAGACTTTCATTAAATGTTATATATACATGCATACAATTGAAAATGGGGTTGTTGGAATAAATAAATTGTCAGATCCTATACATTAGTACTGTTATATTATTATATTGTTGTATTAGATTGAAAATTAGAATGAGGAAGACTTATGGTGTGCGTATTGTTCCGGTGGCTTTGATTATGTGTCGGACGAGGCAATACAAAATTTATAATTGTTATTATATTTTTTTTTATCATTTGTTGTCAATTTTTGGGGGCTAAGTGAAATAAATTAGTGTTGAAATTAAAGAAATTAGTGAAAGATGATAAAATAAAATTAATAGATTAGAAGCATTTGATGACGGAATATGCATATGAATGTACGTTGGTACAGTGAAGATACATTCTGGAAATTTAAGGCATTGGGGGTTAATGTATGGTTGCTAAATGGTGGGCCAATGATTGGCCATAATGAGCCAATCATTGGTTGGGAAGAAAGGTGTCAAAAAGAAGGATGTTCGAAGTCATTTGAGTGTAATTTTCATAATTTTGGTTATTATATTATGATTCAAATTATGATATTGAAAAAAAGATGGGATTTAATCCTAGACTTGAACTTGGAAAATATGATATTTGAAATGTTAGTTGGCATCAAGAATCACAAACTTGATTATAAAATTGAGTGAATTGTAAGGTCAAAGTTAAATAAATAATAATGTGGGTGTTGTTTGTTTCGAAACCTTATTGTGAATAAAAATTTGAATAGATTCCATCGGTTTGGAAGCTCAACGGAAAGGGAAGTCTCAAGTACCGGAGTGATTATTCTATTGGCTAAGGCAAGTGAACTTCTAAACCCTAGTTAAACATATGAAATTTATGTATTTCTTTGTTTGGTGTTGAGAATAATTTAGAGACTTGTTGCCTTTTTGTTGGTGTTGTAAATTGTGCTTTTTTATCAAAATGGTTATCTCCTCATTTTCATTTGAGCGTGTCATTTGTATTGCATCTGAGACTATGGTTGTGATAGGAGTTATGTGATAAGAGGATGTACCATTTCGAGGGTCATATTGCGTGCCACGATAAAAATTTTATATTTTGAGGGACATATCGCGCGCCGCGACGGTTACTACTATCGAAGGTGTGTCGTGCGCCGCAACAGCTGCCTGGACAGATATGTCCCTCATGGGTGTATCATTAGGGAAGACATGCATCACTATATTTGACATTGCATCTCATGACATTATACATTTTTATTATTGATGAGCTTGAACTTGTTTTGCTGATCTTGTGAGTGTTTTTCTGTGAAACTTGTGACTGTTGAATATTAAGTTGTGTGCTTGGTAAACTGTGAACCGTTAGGTTGTGGTGTGGAGGTTCAGATAGGGTGTAAGGAGTACCCGTATGTTGTTCCCTTAACTTGTGTTTAGAGGTTTGCTTGTTGGGTACCGTGTGGTTTGGTATTCACCCCTTTCTTCTACAATCTTTTGTAGGTTACGAGCCCCTATCTTCGTGATATCTTTTTTTTCTTTGTTTCCGAGGCATCTTTTGGAGAATTATGAGGTAACTGTTTGTCATTTCAGCGAACTCCAATTTATGACTTTATTTTTACTTGAAAGACAATTTCATTTTAGACTTGCGTGTTTTATTTTAGTTTTAGTATTTAAGTTAGAGGCTTGTGCACGTGACAACCTGATTTTGGGGATTGAATTAAGTTGACTTGTTTTCGTAATAGAAATTGTTATTGGACTTCAGTTTATTTTTGCACTTTGTTAGATGTTGAGTTTTAGACTGACTTGTCTTGGTGGGACCATCACACTCATTTTGGGGTTGTGACAATGAATGACCAAAAAAATAAATAAATCAGGAAAACTAAAGTCGCAATAAATCGCAGATAGCCAATTTTTCTTCTAATGTTTATGCAGGAAATTAATATATTTCACATAACGTTACAGCCTTTTGTCTTTAATTTGCTAGTACAATATTTTTTTTCCATTGCGCATAGGTGAATCTATAATTTGAAATTTGTGGTATTAGAATGAGTTTGATCTTATTGATTGGTTGAACTCACATAATGCTCGCCTCAGAATTTACTTGTATTAATATTTCAAATACATATTTTCAACTCGAATGTAATGAATTTGTTGAACACATTGAATTTTCCTAAATCTGTCTCCTAGTCTAATTGTATTGATGTTTCGAAGCTTTCCTTCAGATCTTCTGAAATCATGCCCATGACATTGATCCTTTGTTGGCAAATGTATGCATGCAAGATGAGCGTACAAAATTACTAATACTCCGATTATTATGTTTGAGATCTATGAACAATCGCTATGAATTTTTGGTTTAGTGGCCCTCCTGATCAAAGAGCAGATTCTGGAGAGATTCTTCCTCGACCATATATTATTGTACAACTTAAAACTTGTATGCAAATATGAGTTTTATTATAGGTGTGCCACTCAACAAAGCTATTAGGTTTGAGATTAATAAGCAAGTGATGAGATTTTTGAATTTAGTAGCACGTACCTAATCAAAGAGCAGATTTTGGAGTGTTTCTTCGTATTACACCAACCTGAATTTGTAAGCAAGATGAGTTTATACGATGCCAATCAACCGAGCAATCAAGTTTGAGATTAATAAGCAACTCATGTGATTTATGGATTTAGTAGTCACCTGATCACATAGAAGATTTTGGAGAGATTCTTTATCGACCATATATTACACCAACTTGAATTTGTAATCAAGATGAGTTTATAGGAGTGTTAATTAATAGGCACTCGATGAAATTTCTTGATTTAATGTCCATTTGATCATAGAGAAGACTTTGTAGAGATTCTTCATCGACCATATGTTACACTACAATACTAGTTTATAAGAGCGCCTATATATCAACTGAGCTACCGGATTTGAGATTAATAAGCAACCAATGGGATTTTTGGATTTAGTGATGTGTCCTGATCAAAGATTTTGGAGAGATTCTTCATCGATCTATAATCTTGTGGCCGGTTAATAACAAAAGGGTGATGTGTTGTGGTAAAATATATGTTTGTAGTTGTAATATATGTTTTATCTCCCTATTTATTCATCTTTTTGTATGTTGGTTGGAATTATCACATTGGAATGAAGAGGAGGAGATGGTGGCAACCTAGATATAAAATTCCTCTTAGGAAAATCTTCAGTGTTATCAAAATTTGTTTCATCATTATCTTCAAAATTCTTGGCATAACTTATTTGATCATAGGTAAAATCAGCAGAGGCATGACGACGATGTCTACCAAATCGATTCATAATGTTCTTACATTTCTCTTTGATCTCAGGAAAATGATTATGAGACTTTTTACATTTTGAAGTATCGTTAGGAGAAGAAGACGATGGAGAGTCGTTAGAGATTTGATCTGAAGTACTAGAAACAAAACATGAAACACTTGATGACCTTCTATGTCTAGTAGTTCTTTTCAATGATGATATCGCGTTCTCTTTCTCCTTCTCATTCTCCATTGACATGATCAAAAATAGAGAAATGTAGATTTTGTCAATCAATTACATTATAATTTACAATATCTGGGTTGACTACATGAATCCTTGATATATGACATATCAAATGTAGAGGGTTAATATTGAATGTAGTACGAATAACTAAACATGTCATAAACACTTGGATGGCTATACTTTAGTTAAGGATAGAGAAAGGTGAGAAAATTTTGAGGATGTAACTTTACAAAATTATTTGAATTGAAATATTTTTTAATATAATGAATTTTTTTTAGAAATGTTAGGTTCAACTAGAATTTTTTCTTTGAAGTTATGATGCTTTGTATGTGCTTTTTTATATTATTTCAAAGAGTTAAGGTCCTCGAATGACATTTTAAATATTAAAACAAATTAGTTTTGGAGAATTTCGTTCTTGTTTGTGCATTGGTGTACAAGGGTATTTGACATTAATAAAACAGAACAAGGGAGAGGAACAACATTTTAAAGTTGGACCTTATAAGCTTGATATTTTAAGGCAAAAAACCAAAAAAAAAAAGGAAAAGAAGGAACAAACAACTCAAGATGTCTTCTAGTTCAAACTTGGAAATGAGTTCTATTGACTGATAAAAGACCAATAAAGGGTTCATATTATTAGGATTAAACTTTTGAAGTATTCAATTGACTTCATCTCATAATCCGCCAAGGAAAACCGAAAATCAAAACCAAATGACAAGAGAATCGACACTTGTAAACGCCTAAATATAGAATCAAATGATAATATCTAACCAAAAGGAAAGGAAATCACTAGAACAAGAGATAGACCTTACATAAATGATTTGATAACTATTGCGGTCAAAGTATACCCTAGATGTAACATGGTGTGTAGAACCCGACCCTACACAAGGTATTGTTTTTCAAGTGTTCTTCCAGATTCGCCAAGAACTATGTTCTTCCAAGTATGTAACACTATTCATAGTGTTGGAAAGATTTGTCCTCACGCCCTACATCTAAATTTAATCAGTAAACGTTACGTTTAGGGTTTTACCCATAGTTTCTTCGAAATTCTGAATTTTGTTTGACGTTTTGATTTATATTATGTATGTTAAAATTCTAAGTGATGCGAGAGAAATACTAAGTGAAAAAGAAAGGTTGTAGATGTTGATCAAAGTAAAACTACTTCTTTAGATAGATTATTGGTTGTTGTCACTTTTGAACAAAATCGTGCACACTCAATGGACGTTGTTACAAGTAATATTAACAAAAGGGAACACGATTAATGTACCGCGAGTTGCTTCAGGCAAAAAAATAACGAATTCAGGACACAAACTAATGGATGCATCTGGTGTTAAAGATGCTGAAAATTCTGGGCAATATGTTTTGCAAGTTGAAATCGAGAATGCAACTAAAAATTGCCTCCACACAAAAATTCAACTAGTAATCGGAGCCTTTGTCCGACTAGTCAAGATAATTCTCCATGTAGTGAAAAGGATGCAACTGTAAATTTTCATGACAGTGAGGAGAGGCAAGATATTTGTAATGCCTCAAGAGACCTATTATGTTTGAATAACTTTGACGCTTTATCGAAGACTACTTGAAAGCAAGTAAAGTTAATAGAGAATGACAATGATTTGATTCAAGAAAAGCAGGTCTCACCACCTATGTTGAAAAGAAATTTAAGTCCAGAAGCTTTTGTATTTGTGCCTATTATGTGTGATTGCAAAGAAGAATGAGCCAAGATTCATAATGTCAAATACTATTGATTTTGGGCGAGGATTCTCTTGATGAATATGAGGAAGAAAATATGCTTGATTTGGAAGAGGATTCTCGTGATAAAGATGAGGAAGATATGCTAGACATATGCTTTGATAGTGTGTCTAGGGAAGGCGATATATCACCTAGGATAAAAATAAGTGGAAGCAACAAAGACATAGAGAAGACATATGGAAGACAACACAATTGGAACGATAAAATGATTGAGGAGTTTGTTTCAAGGCACCTACTGATGCGATAGACAAAACAAAACCATTTGATATAATCAGTACAAGATCCAATAAATCCATAAAGAAAGTATGAATTATCAAGCGTTGTTGGCTAGATTTGAAGAAGAAGACAAGAGAAAAATACTTTAGGTTACTTTTGATGGACGGTCAATCTTTTTTAATTCATGCGTGCGTAGTAAAATGTTTGAGGCTGATAACTCAACTTTCATCTTGATTGACATATTTTTACATTATTAAAGCATCCTTATTTGTAATATCATCATGGAGTGTATTACAAACTCTATGGTGACCATAAAATACTAAGTTCTCTCTATCTCTTATCTTCTTAATGCTTGTTAGGTAATAGACGTTAGCTACTTCATTCGGATTAGTAAATTAAGACCTAACCCCCCTTACTTGCACTTATTTCTATTGATATTTTTTATGTTTAATAGAAGGCCACTGTCTAGTGGTAAATTTGTGAAGAAAAAAAAGCTTACAAATAAATTTGATCAAGTAGAAAAATGTGAATAATATGAAAATTTATTTGAGAATCATTTTTCCAAATATTATATGGATTTTCATGCAACAACCTACAATCTATAACTTTATATTGTTTTACATGCAACAACTATTTATCAGGAAAATTCGTAGATATGTTTGGTGCCATTTTGCGCAAAAATAATATATAAGAAATTATTTGTGAAAATTTGTAGGTAACATTTTCATAGTTCAATCCATTGAAAATAAATTGACATTTTATTATTTTGCACCAAATTTCCTAAATAAAGCTATTTGTGAAGAAATCACTTTGGATCTTAATTCTTAAAATTTAGCTACGGTTTTATTGTATAGAAGTTTACCTGAGAATTTTATATCAGAGAATTTGTTGAGTATTTTATTATTGGGGACTAATTGTAGATTTTTTTTTTCTAAGGATATACTTGGGGTTTTGCATTAGCTGATGATTTTCCTACATGAAAATAACATTAAAAAAATTCAAATTTAGTTGTGACTTACTTGAAAATATTATCAGTAGAAATATTATATTTAATTAATTATTTAATCTATGGAGATGTTTAAAATATTTATCAATTTATTTGAAGTTCAATATAATTGAAGTTTGATTCCATAAAAAAGTCACGGGTATGATATCTTTTTGAGTTGAATATTACTCCGTAAAGTATGGCATGACTAGTTACTAATTTAATATTTGTTATGAAATCAAACTCAGAATAATATAATCATAAAGAGAAGAAGACAAAAATTATAGATAGAAGAGGGAACTTTTTTTCTCATTCAAGTGTGTCATACAATGGTGAATGATATCTCTATTTATGGTATTGAAATATCATAACCAAAGGTCATCTTGAAATTATACATAATTATCATCAAGGTTTATATCACCTTGGAATTATACATAGTTATCCACCAAGGTTCATATCATCTTGGAAATACATATCATGACAAAGATAAGTTCATGAATAAGCTTAATGGACAATCCAATTAATCCAATGAATTTATAACACTCCCGTTGGATATCCATAAATAATGTGCCTCGTTAAAACTTTGCTAAGAAAAATCTTGTGGAAAAAAATTTCTAATGAAGGAACAAGAGTACACATATCTTTTGATTAAAAACCTTGTCAGGAAAACTCAGTGGGACAAAATCCCGGTCAAGGGAAAAAGAGTGCAACACATATTATACTCCACCTGATAAAAACATTACTTAATTTCTTGCGATGATGTCTCCAATCTTGTACATCATCTTCTCAAATATTGATATTGATAGTGTCATTGTGATAAAATCGCATTCAAGAAAATGTTGCATGGTAGAACCCATCCTGATATATAATTTTCGGATTTCATGCATATGACAAAACTTTGATCTTAGCCGGACTCATTCTTGAATATCATTCTATTCGTCATGACCTCGTAATTGCAAGTATATCGCTTATTCAACTTGTTCACAACAACAATCATTTTGTGGACATATTCATTTGCAATTGATTATCTTCCTACATTGTAGTTGTTATGCCGTAGTATATCTATCCTTAGAAAAATCGCTTTTTGAAATGTTCTAAGTATAAAACGATTTAGAAGAATATTTAGAAAGAGTCGCCACTTAATTTTTTAAAGAAATTAAGAAAACTTGATTTAAAAAGATTTTAACAGATTAAATCTTAATAAATTTAGAGAAAACGGGTAAGAGATTCTTATTTATGCTTCAAGAAGGTTCTTAAGGCATTTGAAGCACCCGCTAACACACGGTTATCCTATGACTTAGGTTAATTTTTTTGTTTATTTATTTATCTTAGAAACAGATTTAGTATAATAATTGACAATATTCGATCAACTTTAAGAAAATATTTAAATAAATACCAGTTTTTATTTTTATTTTTATTTTTTATAACAAAATGGAACTTTAATTAAAGTTTTTTTTAATGAATTAATTATAAGTAAGTAGAATTTAACCAAACTAAAATTATAATTTTTTTTCATCACTTTAAAAAGATAATAACTCAAACCAAATTCATTAATTTAAGAAGGGAAAAGGGTATGATATACCCCTCAACTTTGTCATTTAGAGCAGATA